GAGACTCTGTCTCAAAAAAAAAAAAAAAAAGAAAATTCTGAATAATCATGAAAGAAATATTAAAAATTGTGATTTTAATAATCATTCTATACATTTTTTTGCTCTCTAATTCCTTGAAAATTGGTAATCTGGGTATCGTATTTGACAACTATAATTACCCAATAGTTCATTCTTCTTCTTAAATCAATAATTGGAATATGCAACCCAAATTCCTTAGTGGAAATTAGCTGTATATAAACCACAGGATGACCAAGTTTTTAAAGTATTTCTTTAAATATGTGTGCATGTGTGTGTATGTGTGTATATCTGAAAAAAAAACACTTGACTGACATTTATAGGGGATTTGATACTCAGGTGTGTTCACCTTTCTTGTAGGTTGGGTGACCGGTAACGGGAAAGGGCTCATCTACCTCACAGACCCCCAGATTCACTCTGTTGGTCAGAAAGATGTCACTACCAATTTTGGAAAGAGAGGAATTTTTTACTTCTTTAATAACCAGCATGTGGAGTGCAATGAAATATGCCATCGTCTTTCTCTGACCAGACCTTCCATCGAGAAACCAAACAAGTCGTAGACTGACTACCCGGATCGGAAATGCGACAGACCTTAGTGACGCTCACCAGATATCGAACTCTCTTCTCCTTCCAGGCACATAAAATACGGCACAGACTGATCCCTTTGGGCTTGGGTGAGGCTGTGGTACCGATTCTGGCCAATGATTTGTGAGAGGAATTGGCGAGTGTCACTTTCAGGCCTGCATTTCATTGCCACCGTAAGATCCCGCAGACTCTCTTCCCTGTGCCTCAGTTACCAAGGACGCATCGGGAGGTGCTTTTGCTATGGATTTAGGAGTTCTTCATATATTAAAAAATTCAGACCTTTGTGATATGAGTTCCAATTTTTTATATAGTTGAATTCATCCATCTTTTATTTTATGGCTTCTTGGTTACGTACAATATTTAGATATTCCCTGTACTCTGAGTTTTTTTCTTTTCGATTCTCCCATATTTCCTTCTAGTGTACTAAATCTGTGCACGGCATGATGGCAGAAGGGTGTGTTTTCACAGCCACCACGGCCCATCCTGTGCCCCATGCAGATCTCTTCTTCACACAGGTTGGGGAGCAGCACCTTCACGGTCTTGCTGGAAGAACCATACAGAAGGGAGACTGGTGAGATGAACCTGTTCCTTCCTGCAATCGCACTTTGGGGCTGCAACTGGTGCTCACCCCCACCCGCCTCCACTGTTCATTCTGAATTTCTTACCTGGTGGTGGGACTCACACTTGCATACGTGAAGAGTCTGAACACGAGGTAGTCACATCCTTCTCAGTTTAGGGTTGCTGCTAATGTCTCTTCATGACTGCAACTAGGGCAAAGGGGGCCCGTTCCAGTCTCCTGCTGAGGGGAGCAGCGTTGGCTGACACCCCCAGCTTCCACCCCCTGGCTCCATCGCTGTGTTTATGCTGAAGCCAGATTCCTCCCAGGGCGCTCCCAGCCAGTGACAGAGCATGGCAAGGGCCCTAGGCTCAGAACACTTCTAACAGCTGACTGTGGCACAAAGTCTTCCCATTGGCCTAACCAACACTTGCTTAAAACCGAGCCGGAGTCTGAGACTCTCCCTGCCCAATCCTGCTTCCTTTGCCATCTCCTTTCACGGGGGTCAGACCTGCATCCTGGTCCCCTGCTCATTCTTATTCCCGCCTGGTGATCCTTCACAGTGATTTCCCCCATGTCCTTTCCCTGTATCTGCTTTTTGGAGAACACAAGTTTATTAAAGAAATGAAAAAAAAATGTAATCTATCCTATTAACAAAATAAAGGGAGAAAATCATATAATCACAAATGATGCAGAAAATCATTTAATAAGATTCATGCTTAAAAAAAGCTCTTTGAAAACTAGACATAAAGGAAAACTTCCTATATTTAATAAAGGGATTTTTTAAACTTCTTTTAAAAAAATCAATATAATAATTAATAGTGGAGCAGTTAAAACTTTTAATTCAAGAAAGGGAGCAAGACAAATTTGCCCATTATCCCAACTGTATTCAACATTATAGAAGAATTCCAACTAATAAACATAGAAGGAACAATAGAACTAGAAAATCATGATTTTGCATCCCTTCGTGGAATAATAAATCTGGACAAAAAAGGATTGATGGCTGCTAAAACTATTAAGATACAAGTTGATGGGAAACTTTATAATGCAGGAGTCAGGCTGATGCTACTAACACCTCAGTCAGTCTTAGCACTAAAAGTGGGACAATAAATTAGTGGTAAAATAACACTTTTGAGGCACTTAGGAATTTTGACTATGGACTTAGAATTAGACAAAATGATGAAGTGATATGTTAAAAATCCTCTAGGACAAAAAACAAAAGCAGGTACAGAAGTGAAAGAAGCTTGGCCCCTCTGTGCTGATGTTGAAGCAGGGAGGGAGGTATGTAGGGATTCATTGTAGCAGTCTTTCTACTTTTGTATATGTTTTTAAATCTCCACAAAAAATTTTTCTTAAATGCAAGAAAGTCATAGAAAGGAGGGAATACCAAGGAAAGTCTGAGGAATGATTAAATAGAGATGATGAAAACCGAGACTTGTATCAAACAAACTAATTAGGGAAGAAGGAGGAATGGTCAACGTGTAAAATCTTGCAGAAGAATCGAGAAAAAAGAATATTGATCGAGTGAGAGACTAAGGATATATAGACAAAAGATTGCTGACAGCAAAAGAGGCCATTATTTGACAGAGTGACCTTTTAGATGTTGCTGAACAGGGATCAGCAAACTATGGTCCACGGGTCAAAGCCACTGTCACCTGTTTTTATAAATAAATTTTATTGAAACACAGTCATCCATTCAGTGATGTACTATTCATGGCTGCTTTTGCGTTACAATAGCAGAGTTGAGTACTTGTGATATAGCCTGTATGCTGCAAAGTTACTATTAAAATACTCACTATGTGGACCTTTACAGAAAAAGTCTGTAAAGCTGGGAATACCTACGGGAGAGAGAAGCAGAAGCCACAACATCTTTTATAACCTAGTCTCAGAAGTAACACACCATCACTTTTATATCCTTTTGGCCACGCAGACCAACACTCATGCATTGTGGGAGTAGACCAACGGGACAGGAATACCAGCAAACGGGGATCACTGGAGGTCACCTTGGAGGTGACTCTATCCTGCCAGCCTGAACTGGGCCATGTGCCTCTTCCTACTCCCTAGCTCCTGCTTATTATACAGTCTGCTTAACAGTTGTGCTTAGTGGTTTAAATAATGAGTAAATGAATAAGTGAAACACCAATAATAATTTTTTGTATTTTAGATGACCAATAAGTGCTTATTAGCTCACTAACTCTTGCAACATAAGCTGAGAGGCAATAAGGAAAGAATGTCTGAGTTCTCCAGACTTCAGAAAGCCATTCTGCAACAAGGTGAGATGTGGGTAGATAAGTGGATGGATAGAAGGATGGAAATTTGGAAGAAAAAAAAATAGAATTCCCTCAGTCCCACTCCTAACTTATAAGGAGACTGATTTTGCTTTCTTGTACTTGAACTTTTTAAGCATTCTCCCTCTATTCTTTAATGTTTACTTCTCATTGCAAAATGGGTATTGAAAACTTTTGAAGTAATTCTTAGGAAAACTCCATTATCATTTTTCTACATTGAACTAAATAATTGTTTTTTATCTTTTGCTTGTGGAGTGAGTAGAGTTGTGAAATGACAATATTTAAAAAGCAACATTTCAGGAGTGGAGTTCGATTTAAGGAGACTTTATCTTTGTTCCTTCAGATATCAAAAATGTCAGACTTTTGTTACTGTCTTTTCGCAGTGCTATTGTTTTGAAGATGATGTTTGTGGTCTGTAGTTTGGATATACAGATGTCCTCTGCCTGAACCATTCAGTAGAAACTAGGTGTAAATTGTAAGAGGCAAGAGAGAGTGAGAGAAAAAAAAATAAATCTCTTTATTATGGTGCATAAACCTTCAGTGTGAGGGAGCTTTGCAGCTGCACGAGGAGAAAAATGCATTCAAAAATATAATGCAAGTGTGAATAATCCTTTCTCGAATGCTGCTTGCAGACTGCCCAGCTTTGTCAGGTGAACTTGAACCGGGCCATCAGATTTGCCCCCATTCCCATTGCGCACTCTGTCTATCACCCCAGGGCATTCACCATCTTGACTGTTGTTTAAAGAGAACAAGCAATCCATCATTGAGCCAGGGAGTCACTTTCTCATAGAAAAGTAAAATCAGCATGTGACACTACTCAGCCCTCGTGTTTTGCAGATTAAAATGATACATGGCGACTCACGTGTTACTAGGAAGATTAAGTCGGTTATCTTGTTCCGCTGCCCAGACAAAAGAATTCCCCTCCAGCGGTAAGTAGGAGCTTTACAGAAGCTCAAAACGTTGTGCTCAACTCTACGGTGGTAAGACAGAGAATTTAACAAGAGAACAGAAGAAGACTGTGATTTTACATCTAAGTACCTTTTTTATTCTCTGCGTGAGATGGTACAAAGAAGAATCCATCCCAAAAGGGGGAGCTGTTAAATCTTTGTACAAGTCTCTGCTGTTTCAGATGCCAATTTTATTAGCAGAGATGGACACACAATTTATTGTCTGACTGTCTCCACAATTGATTTAAATATGGTGAAATAAATGAGCAGCCGTCGGCCCTGGGGCAGTCAGCTTCACAAGAGTAGGTTGCAAATCCTGCAGCTACAGTATCAAGTTATTAACCCCATTATTCCATTGTGTGATCTACACAGTAATAAAATTTTAAATGAATCTCATATAGAAATGAGCTCACAATGAAATGCTGGGATACAGCCTTTAATTTACGAGGCCGAGGCAAGTAGTTAGCATATTACAGTAAATATTATTTTTTATATAATTGAATCTATAACTGTGTTCTATTTTTAAAAGTAATTTTCAAAAGGAAGACAACAAAACTAAGTATGAAAGTGTTTGATTTTAAGTTAAATAAGTGCATTCATTAAAATTAACATAAAAATCCATTTCTCTCTAAATAGTTTTCAAAACTAAAAAGAATTTTAAAGTTTAGTTTGTGTTTTGCCATGGAGACCTTACAGTGGAAGCAACATGGGTTGAAGGGAAAGAATCTTGTGTTTTCTTTTCAGGGTCCCATGCATTGTAAGCAAAACTGTTGTTAGAAATTTCTTTATTATTCACACTTTGCCCATACTTTGCCATGCCAAGCTTTTTCTTAATGCACAGACACCGTTTTTCTAGTCAAAGGGATTTCAGATCAAAGGACATCCTATTTTGTTACTTTTAACTAAGTTTTCAAACATTATTGCTCTCAACCAGCTATATGTTCTGTAAGTGTACTGCAAGAATATGTAAGTTTTCTCTGCTAAGGACAGACACCAGATTTAACCTTTTTCTACACAAAACCACGAAAAGGAGAGGGACTGTTTAAACACTTTTGTTAGACATTTGACATGGTCTTTTCCAAGTAACAGAAGGACCCACAGCGACTGGCTTTGAAGGGCCATGTTCCCAACGTGATTTCAATAGGGAACATTCTCTCTGGACCGAGCACCTGGATCGTGTGCAGTGTTCCCCTGGGCTGGACAGCAGTCGCTGCGCCACCTGCATCAGAGAGGATGGAGGGCGAGAGTCGGGAGCCTCTGGCCAGCTGTATCCTTCCCCAGCCCCCAGGGCATGTTCACGCAGAAGAGCCAGGCCAGGCCAGGCCAGCACACAGGCACCCGTCTGAGTGACGGGCCCTTTTGCCCCATTATAGACAAGTTAGCGAGATCCTTCAATAGACATAGATAAAGTTTAAGAGCACTGGAGCCTAGGAGTCTTTGAAACATGCCATGTG